TCAAACTTTCGATTTGCACCCCCCCCCCCTCACGTTTTTCTCTCTATTTTTTGCCTTGGTGTCACCCCCCCTAAATGGTGTCACCCGGTGCGATCCGCACCCTCCCCTCGCTACGCCCCCTGTTAGGCATAAACTTGGGATCTTAGATTCACCTGGGCAAGTTCTCAAATCTTAACTAATAGGCCAATACGTGTAATATTTGAAACTAACATGGGAAAGTAATCAAAACTTAACTAATAGACCCACACTTGTGATCTTTGAAAACTAATCGTGTTTAACTCAGGTGGGCAAGGTCGCAAAGATCCACTGCTACCCTGTGGCGTCCTGTAAGGGTATGGTCAACTCCAAGGCCTTCTGCTCTGAGGCTGGTCTCCGCATGCTTGGGATCTCAAACTGCGAGTTTATTGTCACTAAAGAGGCTGGACAGGGTAACGTGGTTTGTGTGTTGTTTCAGGGTCTTGATCTATCATGGTATGGGACAAGATGTGCTTGTCACACACACAGCACACACAGTAGATGTGCTAGTCACACACACAGCACACACAAGATGTGCTAGTCACACACACACACAGCACACACAAGATGTGCTAGTCACACACACAGCACACACAAGATGTGCTAGTCACACACACAGCACACAGTTGATGTGCTAGTCACACACACAGCACACACAGTAGATGTGCTAGTCACACACACAGCACACACAAGATGTGCTTGTCACACACACAGCACACACAGTAGATGTGCTAGCCACACACACAGCACACACAGTAGATGTGCTTGTCACACACACACACACAGCACACACAGTAGATGTGCTAGTCACACACACAGCACACACAAGATGTGCTAGTCACACACACAGCACACAGTTGATGTGCTAGTCACACACACAGCACACACAGTAGATGTGCTAGTCACACACACACCACACACAAGATGTGCTTGTCACACACACACACACAGCACACACAGTAGATGTGCTAGTCACACACACAGCACACACAGTAGATGTGCTAGTCACACACACACAGCACACACAGTAGATGTGCTTGTCACACACACAGCACACACAGTAGATGTGCTTGTCACACATACAGCACACACAAGATGTGCTAGTCACACACACAGCACACACAGTAGATATGTTTGTCACACACAGCACACACAAGATGTGCTAGTCACACACACACAGCACACACAGTAGATGTGCTTGTCACACACACAGCACACACAATTGATGTGCTAGTCACACACACAGCACACACAGTAGATGTGCTTTTCACACACACACACAGCACACACAGTAGATGTGCTAGTACTTTCGTACTCTCACCTAACGTGATCCAACTGTCTTTAATCTTAGAGTACGCTACCTATCCTGATCCAGCTGTCTTTACTCATAGAGTACGCTACATATCCTGATCCAGCTGTCTTTAATCATAGAGTACGCTACATATCCTGATCCAGCTGTCTTTAATCATAGAGTACGCTACTTATCGTGATCCAACTGTCTTTATTCATAGAGTACGCTATAAACTCGCCAAACGGGACGATGAAAGAATATTTCTGCGAGGCCATGCGAGATATATCTGTGGGCTGTGACGGCAAAACGGTTTATTTCTCCAAAGACAATCAGCACTTTCAGTAAGTACTAGAGTCTAGGTGTACTTTATCTGAAGCGCTACGCTCGGGATTATCGACTTTTTAAAATTGTCTTAAGTTATACGAATTTTTACTCTGTAACTATAATTATGTGATGTATTAGAATAAACACACCAAAAGAAAACAAAAGTTGAACATCCTTGTAGTTACTATAGAAGCTCATAAAAACATTAGCTTTTTTTGAAGTTTAGACAAATTAATTCGATTTTGAACTATCTTTTCAATATAAAATATTTTTTTAGTAAAAAAAATACATTAAAAACACTTCAATCCAACAATATTGTAAAAATAAAACGTTATTTTTTTACTTCTGTACATTCCCCATCTTTATTGTCTTCGGTTGTTTTGTTTATTTTTATTTTTTTAAGCAAATAAGATAATATTTTAAAACACAACAGCACCAAACCCGCACTAAGTTTTTCACTTCTTTCAACAAATATATAATTAATTCCCTCATTGTTTTTCTTCAAGTCATTAAAGCGCTTTAATGCGGTTTATTTGAGTACGTTGCACATAGTTTTTGAGTACTTTGTACCTAGTGTTTGAGTACGTTGTACCTAGTGTTTGAGTACTTTGTACCTTGTGTTTGAGTACTTTGTACCTAGTGTTTGAGTACGTTGTACCAAGTGTTTGAGTACTTTGTACCTAGTGTTTGAGTACTTTGTACCTAGTGTTTGAGTACTTTGTACCTAGTGTTTGAGTACGTTGTACCTAGTGTTTGAGTACTTTGTACCTAGTGTTTGAGTAATTTGTACCTAGTATTTGAGTACTTTGTACCTAGTGTTTGAGTACTTTGTACCTTGTGTTTAAGTACTTTTTACCTTGTGTTTGAGTACTTTGTACCTTGTGTTTGAGTACTTTGTACCTTGTGTTTGAGTACTTTGTACCTTGTGTTTGAGTACTTTGTACGTTGTGTTTGAGTACTTTGTACCTTGTGTTTGAGTACTTTGTACCTTGTGTTTGAGTAGGCCTACTTTGTACCTTGTGTTTGAGTACTTTGTACCTTGTGTTTGAGTACTTTGTACCTTGTGTTTGAGTACTTTGTATCTTGTGTTTGAGTACTTTGTACCTAGTGTTTGATTACTTTGTACCTTGTGGTTGAGTACTTTGTACCATTGGTTTAGCTGATTACTTTGTACCTTGGGTTCAGCTGAGTACTTTATACCTTGTGTTTAGCTGGGTGGCGTGCAGTGTAATGATGAATTAGAAGTTTTCTTAACGAAACAAAAATTTAATTTGCTAGCTATTTTAATCTTTAAACAAAAGTCTATTACAATTTTTCTCGCGATGAAGCCTGTCTGGTTTGTTTCGTTAATTAAGGTTTTTTTTTTTTTAATGAAATACAATTTTACAAAAGATAGTTACAACATGTTGTTGTATTTCTCTACCAGGATGAATTTTAAAACAAAATCCAAACAGAAGGCTAGACAGGTGTATAGAGGGAGGGACATTATACTGGCGGAGGATTTAGGTAGGAGAGATGTATAAATCTCGTTGTCCCTTTCTTACTCTCTTCCCCTTTTTGTCTCATTGGCTTTATCTTTCTTTCTCTTAATGTCTGTATCTCTCCCTCTCTCCCTCTCTCCAATTCTTTCTCTCCCTTTCTATATATCCTTCTCTCTAATCGCAAAGATGTTCCCATTTGCGGCATTTCACACTGCAAGAAATTTGTGACATCTTCCAGTAGTTCTCTACCCCAATTTTCTGCCTTTGACCCCAAAACTATTCTTGACCCCTAATTGACCTCACTTCTACTTTTCCACAGACCCCAACTTGACCCCCAAAAGCAAACTTTCACCCACCCCAACCTTACTCCTCTAAAGCTTTCCCATTGACTAATGATCGTAGACCTAAACTCGACCCCCACTAAAACTTCTGTTGACCCCCATATCTAATATTCCATTGAACCCAACTAGACCCCCACTAAAACTTCTGATGACCCCCATATCTAATATTCCATTGAACCCAACTAGACCCCCACTAAAACTCTCCCATTGACATCCATAATTAATCTTACATAGACCCCTCAATTGGACCCCTCTAAAACTCTCCCATTGACCCCTAGGTGACGAGGTGAGTGAGTGGTTCTCTAATGTGATTGGAACTGAAGTTCGCCTCCATCGCTGCCAGAAAAACGTTCTGTCGACAACAATGGGAAGACAGAACTTGGGCAGTTGCACCATCCACACAGAGGAGTCGATAGCATACCTCAGGCAGTGGGTGGGTGTTGGCTCATGGGGAGTGTGTGTTGGCTCATATGGAGTCGATAGCATACCTCAGGCAGTGGGTGGGTGTTGGCTCATGGGGAGTGTGTGTTGGCTCATATGGAGTCGATAGCATACCTCAGGCAGTGGGTGGGTGTTGGCTCATAGAGGAGTCGATAGCATACCTCAGGCAGTGGGTGGGTGTTGGCTCATGGGGAGTGTGTGTTGGCTCATATGGAGTCGATAGCATACCTCAGGCAGTGGGTGGGTGTTGGCTCATGGGGAGTGTGTGTTGGCTCATATGGAGTCGATAGCATACCCCAGGCAGTGGGTGGGTGTTGGCTCATGGGGAGTGTGTGTTGGCTCATATGGAGTCGATAGCATACCTCAGGCAGTGGGTGGGTGTTGGCTCATAGAGGAGTCAATAGCATACCTCAGGCAGTGGGTGGGTGTTGGCTCACAGAGGAGTCGATAGCATACCTCAGGCTGTGGGTGGGTGTTGGCTCATATGGAGTGGGTTGGTGTTGGCTCATAGAGAGTGGGTGTTGGCTCATAGGGAGTTGGTGGGTGTTGGCTCATAGTGAGTGGGTGTTGGCTCATGAGTTGATAGCATACCTCAGGCTGTGGGTGGGTGTTGGCTCATAGGGAGTGGGTCGGTGTTGGCTCATGGGAGTCGATAACATACCTCAGGCGGTGGGTGGGTGTTGGCTCATATGGAGTGAGTGGGTGTTGGCTCATAGGGAGTGGGTGTTGGCTCATAGGCATTGGGTGTTGACTCATAGGGAGTGGGTGGGTGTTGGCTCATAGGGAGTCGATAGCATACCTCAGTCAGAGGGTGGGTGTTGGCTCATAGGGAGTCGATAGCATACCTCAGTCAGAGGGTGGGTGTTGGCTCATGGGGAGTGGGTGTTGGCTCATAGGGAGTGGGTGTTGGCTCATAGGGAGTGGGTGGGTGTTGGCTCATAGGGAGTGGGTGGGTGTTGGCTCATAGGGAGTGGGTGTTGGCTCATAGGGAGTCGATAGCATACCTCAGTCAGAGGGTGGGTGTTGGCTCATAGGGAGTCGATAGCATACCTCAGTCAGAGGGTGGGTGTTGGCTCATAGGGAGTGGGTGGGTGTTGGCTCATAGGGAGTGGGTGTTGGCTCATAGGGAGTGGGTGGGTGTTGGCTCATAGGGAGTGGGTGGGTGTTGGCTCATAGGGAGTGGGTGGGTGTTGGTTCATAGGGAGTGGGTGGGTGTTGGCTCATAGGCAGAGGGTTTTGGCTCATAGGGAGTGGGTGGGTGTTGGTTCATAGGGAGTGGGTGTTGGCTCATAGGCAGAGGGTTTTGGCTCATAGGGAGTGGGTGGGTGTTGGCTCATAGGGAGTGGGTGTTGGCTCATAGGGAGTGGGTGGGTGTTGGCTCATAGGGAGGGGGTGTTGGCTCATAGGGAGTGGGTGGGTGTTGGCTCATAGGGAGTCGATAGCATACCTCAGGCAGTGGGTGGGTATTGGCTCATAGGGAGTGGGTGTTGGCTCATAGGGAGTGGGTGGGTGTTGGCTCATAGGGAGTGGGTGGGTGTTGGCTCATAGGGAGTGGGTGGGTGTTGGTTCATAGGGAGTCGATAGCATACCTCAGGCAGTGGGTGGGTATTGGCTCATAGGGAGTGGGTGTTGGCTCATAGGGAGTGGGTGGGTGTTGGCTCATAGGGAGTGGGTGGGTGTTGGCTCATAGGGAGTGGGTGGGTGTTGGTTCATAGGGAGTGGGTGTTGGCTCATAGGCAGAGGGTTTTGGCTCATAGGGAGTGGGTTTGTGTACCCAGGCGATGGGTTGGTATGAGATCACAGAAAATGGGTCGCTGAAATGTCACATAAAGTGTGTTGTTTTCATTACATAAAGTTGTTGTTGTTTAGACACAGCAGGTTGGTTATTGTTTACAATAACAATATAACAAATCAAATAGTAACGTCCGAAGAACTAATCAAATAGTACGGCCTGCCTCACCTCAAACGTAACCACATCTACTCTACAGGTGGAGAAAAGCCATGAGTTAAAAGCCGCCTATTTCCGGCCGAATATTCTCATAGCCGGCTGCGACCCGTTCGACGAGCAGCGATGGACAAATTTAAAGATAGGAAATGTCTACTTCTCCGTGAAATGTCCAGACGTCAGGTGAGTCCAGTGCTCGCGTGTTGGTCATAGGGACAAATTTGCTCACAACAGAGAGTAGAAATATATATATATATATATATATATATATATATATATATATATATATATATATATATATATATATATATATATATATATAATTTATATATGGAGTACATACTTAACCCAGTATCCCCCCACCTGGAAATATAAGTGCATTCGTTAATCTCCACCCCCCCCCCCCCCCAGAAAGTTTCAAGTGCCCCCCCCCCCACTGGGAGATAAAATTCCTGAAAGAAACGCTGGACAAGAGGCGGTGAAAGAAAGGGCACCTGAGTGAGGTGTTGACTATACAATCCTCTTATTTATCTAGTTACATACAAACTCTACTTTATCACACACTTTGACCGGTCCGAAAGAGTACGTCTCTTATACTTTTTGTAAAGACCAAACCTAAAACTGGGATGTGGGGTATAGCGCTGTAGCGCGGTCAAGTCGGTAAAGCACATGGATGCTAAACCGAAAGTCTCGAGTTCGAACCCTCTGGCAGACGAGGCTCGACAGCTGGGGACAGCCACTCTTCTTGGAGAGACAACTCAAAAAAAGCTGGGTACAGCCACTCTTCTAGGAGAGACAACTCCACAAAAAAAATATACTGGATACAGTTATTCTTCTAGGAGAGACAACACCAAAATCATAAAACTGCTGCCTTGTAGTTTGTTCTTGGTTGGACAAAGACTATGGAAGAAAATTCAAAACTAAAAGCAGGTTGAAATCGGATTCAAAGGCCTAAATGGGGTGTAAATAGTTGACACGTAATAGGCCTACTTAACTTTGTTGTAGAAAATCCATTCCAAAACTAGACCAAGAAGGAGTTGTAGCACCAGTGGCGTAACAAGGTCGAGTGTCACCCGGTGCGCCACTTAATGGTGTCACCCCTAGAAGCGTAGCGACTCTTCCCGGGGACAAACACCCCTAAATGGTGTCACCCGGTGCGGTCCGCACCCCCCTCCCTCCCCCCTAGCTACGCCTCTGAGTAGCACACACTTAATGTTTATTTTGTTTATTTAATCAACAGAGTCTGTACACAGTCCAGCGATTTTAACTTTCCGGACTGCAAGCCGACCATGGAGGAGAGGTCTGAGGTCAGTGAGGCATTGTGTGTGGACGGGTTCGCCTTCTCCACCACCCTCGGGGTCAACGCCGTGGCCCTCACCACGGGGGAGATCTGCGTCGGTGACCCGGTCTACGCTTTCAAAGAAATCTTACTTTCCTCTGGGCAGACGCTATGACGTGTGGTCATACACTAGGAAACGTGCTTGTTAGTTGAGCCCACGGTCCTAAGATTAAAAGAGTAACAGAAATGTATACATGACTTGAACTTTTCTTAAATTTTTACAAGAATTTTTAAAAAAATAATATTGTTTAACAGCCCATTGATTTATTTCTATAATGTTCAAAAACTAACTTTTTCGATTATTAGGCTTACATTTCTGGTTTTTGTGATACTGTAATATATATATATATATATATATATATATATATATATATATATATATATATATATATTTATATATATATATATATATATATATATATATATATATATATATATATATATATATATGATTGATTTTTTTTTCCGTGTTGCTAGCCAATGGAATAACATACGCTGCCCATGCCCTTAACCCCCGTCCATAAACACACATTCATGATCATAATACTAAAATCTGATTAATTGCCCATGCTTCGTCAAGGAATGCAATAAAATGTTTAACATTCGATTTGTTGTGAGCTAGTCGTACACCGCCCAATAGTTAACTGTCAATCGCTGTCATGAGGGAAAGACATAGACACATCTTGCTGGGGTGAAGAAGGAAACACAGTGACACATCTCGCGAGGTCTAGAAAAAAGCGACACATCTTCTAATGACGAGGTAGGAAACACAGAGAAACATCTTGCTAGGTGGTCTAAGGACACACAGAGAAAACATTTGCTGGAATATTGACATTTAATATTTAAATCGACGCCAAAGGCAGGCAGATAATAAACACACTCCTGGTAAAAACAGAACGGTTTATTTTTTGCCCAGATGGAATCCGATCCTACTACTTCACAACAACGCCTGCTTCCAACCCCTCTCCACGTTTTGCTAGAATAAAGATATCTTGCAGCTATGAATCTTCTTCTTCTTCTTCGTTCTTAATTATTAGTGTTGAAGGGGATCGAGATTTATCTGCCAGTGGGTTTGAACTCGAGACTTTGTTAGAATTTATCAACCATGAGCTTTTTGCCGACTCGACCACGCCTCCAACACAATTAAGCGTTACTTCTCAATTAGTTATGCGCCATTGAGGCCATTGACTCCGATTTCAGCCTGCTTTTCTTTTTGGATTTGCTTCCATTGCCTTTGTCCAACCAAGAACAAACTACAAGGCAGCAGTTGTTTGATTTTGGAGTTGTCTCTCCTGGAAGAGTGGCTGTCCCCAACTAACGAGCCTCATCTGCCCGGATATTCAAACTCGAGACTTTTCGGTTTAGCAACCATGAGCTATACCGACTCGACCACGCCGTCCCCATGAATCTTCTAAAGCCAGTTGTTGGTGTTCTTAATAGAATTTTTTTTCAGCTCAATGAGTTTATTCGGTGCTTTCGTCTAAATGACAGGCGAACAAAACAGGGTGGGTCATTCATGATGCCAGTAAATATAGATCTTTGTTTGATTGAGAACTAGATAAAAGCAGTGGCAGAAAACTTACGGTTTATACTTGATCATTCTTTCGTTATAGGATTACAATATGTTTCGATAATAAAATGATAAATTATTTATTTAAACACATCCTCTGTAAAAATGCTTTAATTTGCCTTCAGATGTTCGTATAATGAACCTGAATCACCCATCTCAACCAAACACTTTTACAATCTGTATAAAAACAACAAGAAAATAAAACATTTAAATACTGAAAGACCGTCGAAAAATTGGAATAAAAACTCTGCCCGGCCGAGATTGAAGACAATAAAACATGGGTCCGTGGTTAGTCTCTAGACGTTACAATAAACAATGGCACTTTATTTCTTTGTTAGACAATGGTGGACACTTTACACAATATAGTTGTTTATGCTGGGCCCTTGACAATGGTGGGCCCCTAACGCAATTTTTTGATAGTTTAGTGGGGAGGGGGCTTTAGGTTACGTGAAAGCAAATGGTGCGCCCCTAAAGGAAATATGTTTGACAATTAGGGGGGGTGTCTTTAAGCTATGTGATTGACAATGGTGGGAACCTAAATGAAATATGTTAGAGAGTTGTGGGCCCCGTTAGGAAAATATAATAGATAATGTTGGGTATATGTTTAGGTAATATGTTAGACAATGATGGGCCCCTTTATATGTTTCACAAGGGTGGGCACTATAGACAATATGTTTAACAAGTGTGGGCCCATTTAGAAAATACGTTACATAATGGTGGGCCCCTTTATCCATTGTAATTGACAACTGTGGTTCACTTGCCACTGTTAGAAAATGGTGGGCCCCTTTAGGAAATATTTTTCACAATGGTAGGCCCTTTTGGAAAATATTTTTCAAAATGATGGGCCCCTTTAGGCAATATTTTTCACAATGATGGGCCCTTTTAGAAAATATTTCTCACAATGTTGGGCCCTTTTAAAAAATATTATTCACAATGATGGGCCCCTTTAGGAAATATTTTTCACAATGGTGGGCTCCTTTTGGAAATATTTTAGACAATGGTGGGCCCCTTTAGCCAATAAAATTGACAACTGAGGCCTACTCGCCGCTGTTAGAAAATGGAAGCACCATTTTGCTGACTGTCAGACTTTCAAATAATTGTGTGCACATTTTGCCTATTTGATGTAATATGTTGCACCCCTTAACCCTATTATAATTTACAATGACAGACCCCTTTAATAATTATTTTTGACAGTAGTAGTTCCCCTTAATCATTATTATTGATAATGGTGGGTCCCTTTAATCAATATCAAAAAATTGTAGGCCCTCTTAATCAATATATTTAACAAATGTTAGGCCCCCTTATCTCAAACTGTTTTCAATGATAGTCTCCTCTGACAGTGTGTGAACCAGTAATTCAGCCCACCCAGCCTACAACATTTTAAATAGACCCATTAATACTGAACGTAATGGCAGTAATGGCATCATAAACACAAAACGTGCCGTGCGGCTTTGACAGCCATTTTCCAAACAATGAACGGTTGACAAGACTCCCCCCCCCCCCTTAACCATTTAGACGGATGTTAGTAGACACCCTCAAATCAGGATTGACAGTAACGGTTGTGTCATATTTGAGGTCGGTCATTGTTTGCCAAATCAACTCTAACAATCAAGAACAGAATCATAAGCTCCTCCACCAGTACATATGCGATACGGTATAAGATGTAGAGTTGTTGGTCTCTATCACCAGTCCCTGTTTACATAATGTCTCACCATCGACACCTAATGTCACATTCTGACTTGGTATGTATGGGCTTCTAAAGAAAAAGAATACAATTTGCTAAACAATTTTTTAAAATTATAAATCGAAACGGTAAACATCTAGCTGCAGCCATATTCTACAACACAGACTTTCCAGCATCCAGAACAGCTATACACTATTAAGTTCAACTTTTATTCAATGCTGGATTTCAGTCGTGAGTGTCTAGCACATCCTGCGGTTGTCAGCAGTCTATGTGCAAGATTATAATTCTGAAAGTCAATGATCCTGTGGTCTATCACTTTGCGCATGCAACATTCATGTGTCTTCAGTATGCTGTTGAGTCTGGTAGACTGATGAAAATATCATGAGCCTCCTGGACAATCCTCAGACTCTTGGCTTGGACATTCCTGAAACTGCTGGAAAACTCTGAGAATTTTTTTTTTTGCAAACCTGTGACTGCTGGACTAGCACAATTCTGTGGTGTGATTAAAAGTATGTTTGACAATCCTGGGGCATTTGGAAAGTCATTAAAATAGGACAATACTTAGCCTGTTAGCCATCATTGAGACAGTTTGACAATAACCAGACAACTAGACAATCCTGAGTCTGTTGAACAATCCTGATTCGGATCAATATCTCAACGTCTTCCTCCGTGTAAGTACAAAATTAAATTATTATAAAATGTATAGCCTGACAGTAACAAATGTTCACAATTTTATTAATGCCGTAAACATAGCAGTAGATAATTCTAGTTCAACTATTTTTCAGCTCCAATTAAAGTTCTATATTTTACCTCTTTAAACCTACTGCCTACTTTAACACTATTTTTAACAGTTGAAATTATTTCTTTCCAAGTCATCTTCACCAACTGCTTATTTTAAAACGGATTTTTACTTAAAGTTTGAAGTTGTTTTTATCTTGAAGCTATGTGTATTTTAAACAATTGAATATATTACTCTCCGTCTTTATTCTATTGCCTCCGCTTTGGTCGATGAATAAGAGGAAAGAAATCGTTCGCGGTAAATTTTACTTGCTAAACCTTATGGCCTAGATGCTGCTATGTCAGCTAAATCAAAGCGTTAGGGCAATCCCATGATTACACTACACTTGCAATACAGTCCACTTCTGATTTTGAGAGGCGGAAATCGCTCGATAACCAACGTGAAGAAAAAATCATTGCCATGCTATTAAAGTCAGGGGGAAACTACCCTTACGGAAAGTTAATGCCTGGTTAAATTCAGGCTTTACATTCATCTTTTAATCTCATTTTATTTTAGCGCTAAATGTGTTTTCTATCACACATCGGTGGTATTTATTTGTAGAATTATCTTGAACAGATGTAGTGAGTTACATTGATGTACGTAATAAACTGCTTCTGTTTAAGAGTATTTAAGACCGTTTCTGGACGCTACACTGCGACTACTGGTAGAGATAAAATATTATTTTAAAATAAGTTAATATCTAATAAGCATTTTATAAAATGCACGCATGTAAACATGGATAGCAGTATTGATTTCATTTAAATATTCAGTTCCTGGTACTAATTCTATTTGGAATTAACAGAGAAACATTAAAACACTCATATTTGCTTTATTATCATGCAATCATTTATTTGATATATTTTAAAGCGAGTTTTACGCTTGTTAAAACTTTTGATAAATGAAGAATTTCTTATCAAACAAAAAATGTATATGGTTAAATATTGCTGGGATCTGTTGTAATAATTTTTTTATGTTATTATAAATATTTTGATAACTAAATAACATAAAATCTATGACGTGTAAACATTTCTTTGATGGACAAATGTGTATAGCTTTTAAGGGGCATTGTTTCTAGTGTTTATAAATGCATTCTAATTACATGCAAAATAAGACTTTAACAGGAAACATCAGGTAATAAAGAAT